GAGTGTGCATGCATATTTTTTTAATTTTTAATTTTTTAAAAAATATATTTTTATTTTTATTTTTATTTATTTATATATTTATTTTTGGTGCTTCGGCCCCTCAATTGTCTGATGTACAGCAACCCGGCCCACGGCTCAAAAAGGTTGCCTACCCTTGATCTAGAGAATTACCTGTAGCGATGCTACAACAAATGGGGACTGCAAGTGAAAAAGCAGCCACTGTTGTTGCTGAAAACTCCCAACCAGAAAATCTACAACAAATGGTTCATAATTTAAAAATGGGTTAGGGGGAAGAAGCCATGAATTGGGTGCAGCATCATGAAGACAGCTAGGTTCTGTTTCAGAGTTTGGCTCCTGCATCCTATAAGAAGGACACAGCAAAACCAAGGGTACTCCAGGAACTCAATCACTAACACAGACAAGGCCTTTAATTAGAATCTTCCTCCTTTCAGTTCCTTTCCTCAATTCTTTCTTGCTCCACATCGCCAATGAATGGTGTTTAATTTTCTCTTAACTTTCATGAGTTCCCATCCTGGGGGAGAAGTGCAATTATTAATGGTTTCTAACCTGTAAATAGCTCCAATTTAGTATTATAAAGAAAGGAAGAAATCTAGTAACTATAAGAGGAATAGACAAGGGGAAGTTCATTGGCCACTGCAATTAGAAGCAGAAGTTGCAAGAAGATAACTTCTAATTAAACCATGGAAATCCTGAAAAACCTCAATAGTATTATGACAGTCTACGTCTGGCATGTAGCCTCATTAATGAGTGCACTGGAGAGAGCAACACTAGTATCCAGTGGATTGGATAAATCTATTGAAAAGGTTCTGATGGTGGCCTCTTGTCCTTGGTACTGATTCCTCATGAGGACTATCAGATGTAGTGGCACCCCCATGCCTTTGAACATGTTACATAGCTTTTCGTGATCAATACAGTCAAATGCTTTGCTGTAGTCTATGAAACACATAGAATCATAGAATCATAGAGTTGGAAGAGACCACAAGGGC